CTTAGTATTTACAGTCACAGCCCTCTAGTTTTTATATCAGCTCACAAGAAAGTAGGCAATTGCCTTACCTGCAAGTCCTCAAAAAATGTCCCGTTTACACACTTAATACACTTACTAAAGGCCGAGTTATTGACTTTTATAATACTAGAAATATTTGTAATTTTTATAGGGCTGTGACGGCCCTTCAGAACACTTTGTACAAAAAAGGCTTTGCACCACTGGGATTTAGATTCACTAATGTTACGTATCCACAGATTTTAAGATCAGAAGGGACCATTATGATAATCTAGTCTGACGTCCTTCATAACACAGGCCACAGCACCTTACCCAGTAATTTCTGTATCAAGCCCATACCTTCAGTTTGAGATATAGGATAGCTTTTTAAAAGATATCAAGTCTTCCTTTAAGGATTTCAGTTATGAAGAATCCTCCACAAACTTTGCTAAGTTGTTCTAGTGGTTAATTGCCCTCCTTTGTTAATTTTTTTTTTACTTATTTATAACATTGAATCTTGTTAGGCTTTCTTCTGTTAGATGAAAGAGCCATCGGTTAGAAATCTCTTCCCCATGTCGGTACTTGTAGACCATGATCAAGTCACCTGGTAACCTTTCTTCCAAATGCTTATTAAGGGTATTTCTACACAGCAGCTGGAAGGTTTGATTCCCAGCTTGGGTAGACATACACAAGCTAGCTCTGCTTGAGTTAGTGCACTCAAAATATCCATGTGGCCAGGGTGGCATGGGCAGTGCCTCAGGCGACCCCCGTTCAAGGTCCTAGATATGTACTTGGGTGGCTAGCCCATGCTGCTCCCCAGGCACGCTGCTATTTTTAGTGGGCTAGCTTGAGCAGAGCCAGAATTATACCTCCCAGCTGTGTTGCAGACATACTCTTAGTTTCTTGCTGTACAGTTTTGTTCTCCAGACCTCAAATCATTCTTGTAGCTTGTTTCTGAGCACATTCTTTTTGCAAAGTGGACACCAGAGCTGGACATGCTATTCCATCAATGGCCTCACTAATGCAGAGGTAATACTACCTCCTTACTTCTACTTCATATTCCCTGGCTTGTATAGCCAAGGATTGCATTCTCCCTCTTAGCGACAAGATTGCTGATTGTCTCCCATGACCCCAAAGTCCTTTTCAGAGTCACTGCTTTTCAGAGTATAGTTTCTCATTTTAGAAGTGTGTCCCATGTACATTGTTCTTAGGTGTATGACCTTGCATTTGGCTGTGTTAACAGGCATGCTGTTCCAATGAGTCCATCTAATCAAGCGATCCCAATCGGTCTGTATAACTGACCTGTCCCCTTAATGATTTGCCACTCCACCAATTTTTTTTTGTAATTTTGCAAATTTTACCTGCGCTGGTTTTATATATTTCTCTAAATCATTGATAAAGGTATTGAATAATAATCAGCTGAGATCAGTTCCCTGCAGCACACCACTAAAACACCTCCTTTCAATGGCAATTCACCACTTACAATTACTTTTTGAAATCTATTGGTTAATGTTAACAAAACTATTTTATTGTTCAGGTAATGCTGCTTCTTGAACAACAAGAAGCTCCCCTCATTGTGGAGATGAGTATACAGCCTGAGAGGGCATGCCACTTGTGAAAAAGAATGTAATCTGATATTTCAAACTGAGCCAATACCTTTGAAGTTTAGGAAAGTTTGGTTATGGGCCCTCTGTAACACACTATACTTCGGGGGAGCGTCTTGTAACCCCCATAGTACTCATCTATATATAATTGTGATATTGCATATAAAGCATGTCATGTGAGGTATATGGGGAAAGGTTATGATCTGCTGAAACCCATTGTTCCATCTAAAAGTGTATCATTAATGCATATAAAATTATAAGAATTGTGTTGTATGGTTTTCACTAAAATATGCTCTGGGTTTGGGAAGCACCCAGATAGATACAAGTTCTCCAGAGACCATGACAAGGGAGGTAACCAATGGCCGGGTGGGTGCTGAAGAGACATCACCGGTCATTGTCCAGCAGAGTGGTAACAGTACCTGGAGGGGTTTGCTGCTTGTCACTAGCAAAGCATTGTGAGAGACAGCCCACACTGGAGAGTTAAGGGGGCACAGTGTCTCACAGTCCCAGGCTGCATCCCGGGGATCCCATCAAACCACCCATTTCACTTGCACTACTATTGTGAAAATCATGGGAGGTGAAATGCACCTGGAGATGTCACAGTTCCATTTTCTTTTCTTCTTATCTGACTCTCCAAACTTTTGTGGAGACTGTCCCAACTAGTCAATTGACTAGAGTCAATCTATGTGTTCTGCTTGGCATCACATATCATTATCATTAGACCACATTACTCATATTTCCAGCTTTGAAATGTAGTAATCCAACCTTTCAACTTCCATAGGAGTTAAATATGCCAACCGCTAGAATTTGAAAAAGCTATTCTAAAGGACAAACTAGAGAAGGCAAGATCTAAGACATGATGTTTACTGTCTTCAGGAGCTAGGGAATGATGCCAACTGCACCTCACTCCATCCACACATGGCCGCTTACTAAAAAGTAGCATTGGGTGAGAATATCACCACCACAATGTGAATGTTTTGATGTACTTGTTAACATGTAGGAAGGAAGTGGGATTCAAAACCAGAAGACAGACACCCATAATGCAATAGTGATGAAAACTTCCAGATGTATAACTCAATATCCCTAGTCTCTACTTTGGCACAAGCCTGCATGGCCTGTGCTGGGATAATAAACTCCCTACGTTGTTTTGTTTTTTTTAAGGGGAGCACACATAGAACATAATTACAAAGATGTTGCTTCCAATCCAGTGTGGGTCTTTGGGAGGACTTATACTTTGAGGTCAGTTTGATTGACATGTTCTGTGAGTAGTCTCAGTTGATTACCTTTACTGAAGATTATCTGGCTTGCTACTATGAAGCAGCTTTACAGAGAAGTCTACACAGGGTTTTCACTCAACTATTTCAGTCGCTTTCCATTTTTGCCTCTTCGTGCTGGTCGGACAAGGGAACCCCTTCACAGTGTCTCTTCAAGGTTGCTCTTCTTTTTTGGTCTCCTGTCAGAGCATACTAAAATGAGCAGCTTCAAGGAAGGACTACAGGTCTAATTCTGTACTTGCATACACCACCTTTACCCCAGTGTAACACCATAGACTTCAGCTGATTTACACTTATGTAAGTGAGAGGAGAATTGAGCTTTATATCTCCGTTGTAATTTTGAAAATGAAAAATATTTAAAGCTTGTTGTCACTGGAAAAACAACTGCTGTATTTATTCCCTGTTGAAGCAAAATGTTTCCCTACAATCGAGGTAAAAATTTAGGAAGCTTTTATTTAAGCACAGTGCTGCTTCTTTCCAAATGGTATCCTGCTTCTATAATATGAAGGCTTTTAAAAACATTTGTTACTTACTTTCTAGCCACAACCATGATAAGTACTCAAGAATATGCCTCCACAGTACAGGCACAGACCTTGAGTATAAAGTTCCACTTGTTCATCAGGCAATTTTCTACCTTACACGGTGAATTCCCTTGGATAACATTGAGTTCTTGTGTGAAACAAACAAAAAAACCCACACAGGATAGCTAATGCAACTCGACCATACATTTAAAAAAAATAGTTATGTCACAAATATTTCTACAAACTGTACTAGGAAATGGAAAAGCTATCATTTCTGAAGCCTGTACAAGAATAGCGAAATGCATTTGAGGGTGGAATCCTTCATATTTCTCATTCTCTTTTATTATAACAGGGTTACCTTTATCCATGTTGATAATGATTAACCCACTAATTCTTACTGAGTTAGGGACATTTGAAACATTAATTATTAGCATTTTCAGTATGGCTCTTCATTTTATAAAAAGAAAAGGAGTACTTGTGGCACCTTAGAGACTAACCAATTTATTTGAGCATGAGCTTTCGTGAGCTACAGCTCACTTCATCGAATGCATACTGTGGAAACTGCAGAAGACATTATATACACAGAGACCATGAAACAATACCTCCTCCCACCCCACTCTCCTGCTGGTAATAGCTTATCTATTATCTTCATTTTATGAAAGTATCTGTTACTAGGACAGTTCTTCCATCAACTTACTGGTTACTTTAGCTAAATAAATAAAATAAACCTCATGACATGTTTTCAAACTTAACAGGTTTTTTTTTCCTTGTGCACTTCAGTACCTGAGTATGATGGGGTACACCGACCCTCTCCAAACCTGGAAGGGGTTAACCCTCTTCCTCTGGCTAGTAGGAGCACAGTAGTCATCCTGAGTGAATGACCCTGCGGTGCAGTAGGGCTGGACCAGCTGTGTGGAATTGGTCCTCAACTTTACTATAAGTGAGATGTGCTGCAAGGGAGATGGAAACTGAACCTGGAACAAGAGACAGGATCTTGGAAGAGTGTGGTTGTTGAGCAGCAAATGGGAGGAGGGTCCTCCTCAGAATTTAATTGAAATGAGGTGCACCTGAAGCAAGTCAAACCTTACACCTTGATTTGGGCTCCGGCTAAGGGATGTTTGGCCCATACAGGGGCGGACATCCTTTATGTTTGCCTTTTAATTTTATAGCAAAATATACCACAAAGGTATAAACTCCACCTAAGCGTGAAGAATCCTTTCTTTCCCAACTAACCGGACACACACTGTTAAACACATCATGCTGGGCCACATCCATCCTCTGGTGTAATGGAGATGCACAGGGGCAGAATAGCAAATACAATCTGTAGCCTCTTTTTCAGGCTTGTCTTTCATGTGTTTGCTATCTTGCAAGGGATTGCAGCAATGTGAGTGTTCTAGAGAGAAAATTTACATTATTCCAGAGCATGGGCAAACTCTCATTCTCTTCATACAGAGGGATAATTACCAGTTAGACTTCAGTGCAAGAGACACAAATCATTCTCCTAAGAAATCTAGCAATCTGCTCATAGACATTTTCCTGTAATGCTATTAGATGTTTCTCAGATGAGTATTGCAGTCACACTTCACATCTTTTTTTCTTTTAACCAGGTAGACAAGAAAATTGTCCGAACTGAAATAGGTGTTCTCCTTCGCCTCTCGCATCCAAATATTGTAAGTGGGTATTTTTAGAATATTTCACTGTATCTCCTCTCATTAACAATGTATTCAGTTTCTTAGACCGCAGTATTGATCTTCATAGCTCACATTGTATGCTAATGTATGAGAGGCTTTGATTAAAAATCTGGGTTTTTATCTAAGATCATTGGGTCAGAGTTACATTTTAAAGTAAATTATTAAAGTTTCCACCAAGTAGCAAGACAGAATTTACAAAAACAAGCCTTTTGCTTAAAGGGGAACCTGGCAGAAAAGGGATAAAAAGAGCCAGCTGGTGGTGTCATGGTTGTTACTCCCTGGAGGGAGGGAAAGCCTTGCCTTTGTCTTCAGGGACTTCCTCTGTAAGACTCCTGCGGAGGCCCTGATTGGCCATAAAGCAGTCTCTAATCTTCCTGCATTTGAGAGAGGGTTGCTGAGTTATGAGAAGTGAATGTGTAGGGATGAAAGAAAGAGGGATCCAGGAGGAGATCAAAAGAAGCAAAAAAGAAATAATTAGGCACCATAAACAGTACTTACAATACATTTCTTAACTGATCTGAGTGTGAACCATGTAATCGCTGTTAGTACTGTCTTCCGCTTCACTACAGTCCCCTTGTTGTAGTCTATTGTACAGTGCATGGACTCAAATAATTACTCTGTTTGGTATCTTTTCCCAGATAAAACTGAAGGAGATATTTGAAACCCCCACAGAAATCAGTCTTGTTCTGGAATTGGTCACAGGAGGGGAGCTATTTGACAGGTGGGTGATCTATGCAAACCGCAGCATGCACAAGGAATTTTGTGGTGTTCACCTTACAATGCATTGCTCAACAAGGGTATGATCCTTCAGAATTTGCCCCCTCTTCCCGAGTAATCCTTATATCGGTAGTCATTGAAGTTGTTCCATCTGGGTGAAGACTACTTACATGAGTAAAAGTCTACAGGATCTGGCTCGAAATGGGCATCTGGAAAAGGTTTCTCATTGGAGATTTTTTAAAATGAAATTCCAATTAAGTGAAAAAGGGAGGAAACAGTCAATAAATTCTAAATAGCATGTAGTGTTGCAAGAGGGGACTCATCAGGCAAACATCAAAGCGGGGTCATGCAAATAGGTGGTGAACAGGGAAACGGTGTGTTGTGCAGAGAAGTGAGAGGGACACTGGGAAGACAGCAGAAAAAATGCTAGGCAAAAATCAGCTGAATAGCAGATAGAAGAGAGAAATGCCAAATAAAAAGTTGATCAACCTAGCAATGAGAGAAGCCCTTCCCCGCATTTAGCACTTGATTATATCTGTGAAAATTCTGTACATTTGTAAAAGATTCTGAAAGAAAATGGTTAAATTCTGCAGGTTATTTAATGATAATGTTTCACAACTCAAAACATATTGGTGTCTGTGTATAAAATTATGAAAAATCCTGTAAAGTATTCTTTTTGGTAATGTTTAATGCTGGAGTTTCTTAAGAGAGCTGTTTATTCTTGTTTTAGAGCAAAACACACACAAAGCCTTCATTGCTCATTTGTTGAATAAATCAATTGTACTGCTGAACTTATCTACTGATGAACAATGCTTTCCAAATCATGCAAGATCAGGATATTTAATCTTCTCTCCACTAAGCTTAACTGTTTAAGATTTAAATGGAATATAATATAAGTATGCATTAAAGAAATGGAGCGTGAAAAGCACTTTGATTAGGGGAAACACAAACTTGTCCTTTTTCTATGGATAATAGTTCATGCATAATAATCAAAGCAATAAGCTCAACATGAGCAGTTTCTGAACGCAGCAGAAGCAAACCCTTCTCTCACTCCTTCAATTCAGAAAGAAGAAAAATGTGCCTGTATGTGCATACACATGCCATATCCAGTCACAGCAATAAGGCAAATCATAGTGTCAGTTAAACCATTAGAATCCATGAAGCTAGCATGCAAGGAGACAGTACACCACCGTATTTATCCATAAAGGAGACTTGTCTGGCAGGTGTTTGTAGAGTATCATGGAAAAGGAAAATATGGACATGCCAAAGAAATGGTTTGTTGGTCTGTGAACAACAATAATTTGTGAGGTTGGGGGTGCTGAAGGTAGCATCTGCTACTATCTCAACTTACGGTAGCTGAATGCAACCCAACTTTGAAGACTGTCTGGGACTTGCTTTCACTTTGGAAGCTGGGATTTCATGCTCTAACATAATGAAGTTTTCACACGACAGCAATTAGGCTGTAATTTCTTTCTCAGGATTGGGCCCTCCATGAAATTTTACACTTGGAGTAACAAGTTAGCTGCTACAAACTGCCCAACTCCATCTACAACATTGCTAATTGAAGCAAAGAGGTTTTGCCAGTGCCTAGAATCATGGTGCACCCTTCTGATACTGGTGATGAGCATCTCTGGAAATATTTGTAGTAAATTTTCACTCTACGTGTGATTTGAAAAATCATCACGTTATTTTGCATCAGTTATTTCTAACAAAAGGCAGTGGCTTCCTCTCCAGCAGAAGCATGAAAATAATTTAACACAGCTGCGCAGCCAACATCTTTTGCATTAGATTCATAGATTCCAAGGCCGGAACACACTATTGTGATCAGCTAGTTTGACCTCCTGTATAACACAGGCCATAGAACTTCCTAAAATAATTCCTAGAGCATCTCTATGGCATCCATTTTTTGTTCTTAGATGTCTACATTTACATGTAGCCATATTAAAACACATTATTTGCACCCAGCTTTCCAAGAGATCCAGATCCCTCTGTATCAGTGACCTGTCCTCTTCATTATTTACCACTGCCCCAATATTTGTGTCATCTGCAAAGTTTATCAGTGATTATTTTGTTTTCTTCCAGGTAACTTAACAAAAATATTAAATAGCATAGGGCCAAGAACTGCAGAACGTCACTGGAAACATACCCATTTGATGACAATTCCCCATTTACAATTACATTTTGAGACCTATCAGTTAGCCAACTTTTTAAGGCATCTAATATGTGCCATGTTAATTTTATATCATACAAGTTTTTTTAAGGCAGTATCAAGTCTATTGCCTTACAGAAGTCTAAGTGTATTACATCAACACTATTACCTTTATCAACCAACCTTGTAGTTTATCAAAAAAAGATAACAGGTCAGTTTGACAAGCTCTGTTTTCCATAAACCCATGTTCATATGCATTGTTTATTTTACCCTCTTTTAGTTCTTTATTGGGAGAGGCCCATATCAGTTGCACCATTAGCTTGCCCGGGATAGATGTCGGGCTGACAGGCTTATAATTACCTGGTTCATCCCATTTACCTGTTTTAAATATTGGCACAACATTAGCTTCCAGACTTCTGGAATTTCCCCAGAGAACCATGAGCATTAACACTCCAGTGAGCTCCTCAGTTAGCTCTTTTAAAACTCTTCCCCTGTAAACCAGGTGTTGTTTTTTCTTAACCAACATGGCCTTCCTCCTCGATTTGGGGATTGTGGCTTTTTGTGCCTTGAGTAAGCGTTCTTAAACAATTCCCAATTAACATTCACATTTTTTTGGTTTAAATTCTTCCTCTCACGAATCTAATATAAACAGCTCTACATTAGCTGTTCCTTCTCCCTTTTAGCTGTGCGACGAGATTAACAGTAGCATTGTGGTGCTGAAATAAGGTAGCTGCCCTACAGGTTGTAGTGATGTGGGAAGTTTGTCTCAAAGTAGGAATCTATCTTCTCAGTCCCCATTTCTTCATCCACTTTCCCTTTTTCTTCACCCATATCTTAATCCACTTCTCTTGCCTCCTTATTCCCTTGCATTTTCACTCACCAGCTCTTGCCTCCACCTGGTTTCTCTCCTCTCCCTACATGTCCTCCTTTTCTTCTCTCCCTTGCTGTTTCTTTAGCCTCACATGTTTTCTCCTACATTCTATATTTTTCTTAAATGCAGGAAATGTGCTGACCTACGTTTAGGAGGCCTTCAGCATTCTGCCTTATGCACGTATATGGCTCCCATTACCACAGTATCTGAGCACCTCACCATCCTTAATGTATTTATCCTCACAACACTTTTTTGTGGTAGTGAGGTACTTTTATCTCCATTAACAGCTGGGGAACAAGGGCACAGAAAGACTAAGTGACTTGTTCAAGGTCACACAGAACATCTGTGGTTGAACAAGGACTTGAACCAGGTCTTCTGAGCAAAAGGCAAGTGTCCTAATCACTGGACCAGCCTACCTCCCCACAATGCACTGGTTGCGCATCTTTAGGAGTGCATCATCAGCTGAACTGTAATTATGGATTTAGCCAAGAGTTTCTACTAGAACAAACTTTCTTTTTATCTACTTCAAATTTAGAGTTTGGGCAGCAATAATTATAAAGCCACAATTAGGATTCCAGGGCTAAGGTTGCATTGAAAAATGCAATTAAATAGGAGAATTGAAAACTAAAATATTTCCGTCCCAAACTCCTCCTGTTTACTGAATTGGCAGGACTGAAGTTTTTGTAATGTTTTAAGTGATACGGTGAGTATTTTAAAGTTACTTGTTTTTAACAGACTTGTTTTTGAAATTCTGGACGAGTTTGCTATACAGTAAAGGAATTATTCCTATGCCTCTTCCAAGTCATCTGCCACCTAATTGGGGCTATCCACGCACAGCTATATCCATGTCAAGTGTCCCTTTACTATACTGATGGGTCTTATCTGCAATACCTGCTTTCCCACCATCTTTCCCATTACCATAATATTTGAATTACACATGAGCAATTCATTTCTCATCTGCTTTTACCTCTGCATAATGCCCAGAATACACACACAAATCTGGTTGCACATTTGCTCTCTTGTAGCCATAATGCTGCATCTAAACACCCACAGCTGGTGTCAGATTAGTTCTCCGGTATCATCACACTGGGATTCTTCATGCACTGTTGGTTTCATACCACCCTCATATGAAAAGGTCTGTGTAGTAATAAAATATACGTAGCCTTGAGAAATCTTTATCTGTCATACATAATATACCAATAAATGCACTCACAGATAAGTATAAGAAATCAAACTGTGCTTTCAATATTATATTTCTTCAGTTATATTTTCAAAAACAAGAGAAATTCAAACACTGAAAGAGCAGTCTTAATTCTCTGACTCAGCTGAATTCTATTATAAAAAAAATCAGAGAACCTTCCTGAATTTTATTTCTCAGACTTTAAAAATCACCTTCTCCTTCATTCATGATATTTAAAGTCACATACAACTTATGTTGCCAAAACATAGCAACTTGAACTCTACCCATGTCTGATAAATAGGTATGGCTTATGTTTTGTGCGTTTGTCATCGAAACACACATTTGTGTTGACATTGCTGATAACTTTTGCTATTCTGATAATTGAACAGATAATGCTGTGCTTTTGGGGTATGTTGAGTTTAACTTTACACTGCACAGAAGTCTCAGATGTGTGAGACCAAATGCTGGATCAGATCCTTTCCTGCATTCTGACTGCATTGTGCTGCTCTGGCTCCAGTTCTGTGGAGCAGCCTAAAAGCCAGTTTAACTGGTCACTGGAAGATTCCCTCAAGTATGGCAGCTTCTTTACCAAACGCTGCCCAGTCACCAGTGCAGGGGACATGACTAAGGTTTCCCTTCATTGCACCCTTCCGTGGGTGCCAAAAGAGCCTCTTGAGGTCCTTGCCAGACAATGTAAATTTGAGCAGTATTAAGGTTGCTCTAATCAAGACCAGCATCTGGCCTAATGGGCTGAGAGCCACAGGATTTGGGAAGGAGAGAACAAAGCATACTTTCATACCCCTT